AAGTGCAGTTGTAGTCTACCTCCAAGGCGTCCAGGACCTCGAAGAAGGACTGGTCATAGTCGTGGTTGTCCACCATGGTGCTCATCCAGCCCTGTTTCACATGGGCTGAAGTCGTCGAAGATCGAAGGCACCCATCTTCTGCATCACCAGTGGCAACTCGAACATGTACATCGCCAGGTTGCACTCCGTGTTGGTGCACTGGATCTCCGTCTCGTCCTCCGGGCTGTTGGAAGGCACATCCAGGTGAAGCATCTGGTGCGTTTGACAATGGGGACATAGAAGAACTCCCACTGCCATCTCGGAAGTCGCATCTGCCATCTCGGAGGTCGCATCCAGATTTGCCCATCGAATCGAACAGTTGTCCCGATCGCATTTCCAGTAGAGACGCTGACTCGGTGTGTGGATGTACAGGATGGCCATGCCCAGACGACACAGGCTGCAATGCTGAGTGTGAGTCTGAACCAGAGGATCCAGGGGTCCAGTCTCCATCTCCGTGTCGCCAATGAGAACGCTTCGAAGGCCGCCATCTCCTGTTCCTCCTCCTTGCACACCAGCCACTCGTCTGGCGTCTCCTCTTTGACCACTGGGCGTGACCGAGACTTGGTCGCTGTGATCTTGCTGGTTCCCGTCATCGATGAGGTCCCGACCGCTCGAGCTGAAGCCTTCTTTGCAGTCGGTTGCAATGTCGATGAACTTTTGGTTGAAGTTCCCCGTGCCTTCTCCTTCGCTGCAACTTTCGCTTCCAACCTCTCGGTGGCTTTCTCGAAGAAGGCGCATTTCACATAGACCAGCGTGTCGTTCCAATGCTGTAGGTCTTGAAGAGGTGTCAGCGGCATCTGCTGCTCCTGTCCGCATTGGTCGCAGCGCTGGTAGGAGAGAATCCGATTTGCACCGTGTGTGGTTTTCAGGTGAGCACAATGTGGGGACTTCTCCAACTCCGGAACCAGGTAGCGACCGCGTCCTCGAATGCATGCCATAGGTCGTACTCGATCTTCTGGACGGGACACGTTCAAGTAGCCCTGTGCTGGCATTGTACTGCCAGATGAAGCCTCGGCCATCATCTTCTGCCCCTGCTGAGCCAAGGAAAGCGCTTGCTGCTCCAAGTGCTCGCGCCTCTTCTGTAGTTGCCGAACTTGTCGTAGTTGAGGCTGCCGAGTCAGCTGCATGAAAAGCTGCTTGGCTTGCAAGCAAATGGAGACAAGTAGCCGCAAGAGCAAACGTCGCCAGCGGACCCATGGCCTTGAGCTGGAGGGCATCTGCGGGAGCGTGAGATGACCAGTGGGCTTCGTCAATCTTCCACGCTTGACTTTTGAAGCAGCGGAAAGTCGCTGGAACAGTGAACCCAGGACCGAACTCCACGATCGAAACGGCAACGTGTCCAGTGGGGAGTCTGGTCATCTTTTGGGTCACACCGAGGGCCATGTACATAATCGTGGCATGCTTCATGTCAATCACCGCTTCAAGGTCAGCGAGGAAGTAAGCTGGAATGAGGAACGGAATTTCTCCAGGGACAACCTGAACCTTGAGGACACCTGACTTTCCACTTAAACCAATGGGGACATAGGCCAATGAAGTGTTTTCCTCAGTTCCGCAAACTCCTCGAACCATGCCCCCTGACTCTGTGGTCCATTGAACTTGTAGTCCAAAACGTTGTTTCAACAACTCATCATGATGTTTCAACGTTTCCATGCCAACCAATCCATGCTGTGCTGCAGTGTCAACTAGTGCTGTTCCTGAAGGCTTGGGTGTATACTGTGCAAAACAAAAGCTCAAGAAGGACTGCGCAGGATATTCCTCCACGATTGTGTCTGGCTGGTCGTGGGTGAAAAACTGGTGGCCAAAACCGGCAAGAAACCAGTGCTAGATGTCGTGCTTGATGCAGTCGGGCTCGATCGTCTCTGTGGACACTCCCGACTCCAATGTCCAATTTGCTTGCACTGGTGGCACCTGGACCTTGTTTTTGCTTTGAGCTCTGTCAAAGACAATCGGCTGCCAGCTCTCTGCATCCAAGGCTTGTCATAGCCTCTGCTCATCCGAGTCTGTTGTAGAGCTCGTCGATGGTCCAAATAACCTCCACGACCACTGCCAAAGCCTTGATAGGTCTTGGAGAAGTTCTTGCTCTTGCCTTTGCCCTTCTTGCCTTTGCCTTTTCCTTTGAACATTCGATCACGAGTCTCCAGGAAGATCTCCTCGATGTTGCCGCTGATGTGCTCCATAGCTTCAGCTTTATCCATAACAATGGGTAGCTCCTGGTGAAAGATCATCTGTGTCTCCCAGGAGTCGTTGAGACACACCAGATCAGCAAACAAGTCATCATCTTCCGTGGGAGCATCCGAAGTTGGCGAATAGCCATCAAACTCATCACCATTATCCCAAGACTCTTCATAGTCCTCAATGCCATCGGCATCCCAAAACGTTGCACTGCGCCAGCGTCGAGGGGTATGAGGATGATCACCATGTTGATCGTCCAACTTGTCACCGAAGACCTTTTGAATGGCCTTCTCAATTTCCACATAGTCGATTGAACCATTCGTCACCACTTTAAGCCTCTGGCGTTGATCCTGAGTGAATGACCCTTGCCTCAGGATCAAGTGGCCTAAAAGGTGTCGCCCATGCAGCTGCTGAGGCTAACAGGTCCAATCCTTGTTTCTTCAATTCATTGAATGCAGCTTTCTTGCCAGTCAGGAAGGCCGTGAGTGAAGTTCCACGATCTCGTCGGCCTTTGAATATTGCATCATCAAAAGCTTGCTCCAAGCTTTCTCTCAAGTACTCATGCGCTTCCTCGATGATCTTCAAAATGACTCTATGGCCATCATCGGAACAGATCTCATCAACGGTCAGGGAACCAAGGAGGGCGCTCAATTTGGAGCCAAGCGGGATGGAGTCGATGATGCGCTTGCCTATCAAGTTGCTCGGAATGCGAGCTTCAGCTTCGACCATCCACAGTCGTAGCTTCTTGTGGTAGTCCTTGTAGTTCTTCTCCGGCATGTCACCACCCCATGTCGGGGCGGGATCCATTCTATAGTCAACATGTCGTCGGCCTTCAGCGGTCTGGCCAGCTTTGGGAGTGCTTCGACGTGAAGCAGCACCTCGAGTCCAAGGATCCTGCTCTTGGAGAGGATCATCTAAGGCTTGAACAGGTGGTGCACGATGAACAGGTCCAGGTACCTCAGGTAGCAAAGGAGGCTGTTCGTGTTCAGGAAATAGTCCAGGGCCATCTTCTGGCATCTCTGGAGTAGGTGCTGCAGCCGCCGCCGCACTTGTAGCCGAGGGACTCGCCGATGAAGTCCGGCCAGTCCACGTTCGTTGAGGCCGTTGCATGATAGGCCAAGCAATGAAGTCCAGTCAAACTGGTAGGCGAAGAAGAAGTCAACGCGGAAGGTGAACACGCGTAGACCTGATGAAGTGGCCAAAGCCAAAGAAGTGGCGGAAGCTCAGGCTTCGCCGCCAAGAAGAAAAGGTGGTCGTAGACCAAAACAAGCAAGTAGTGACGTCACTGCCCCAAGGCTCTAAGACGCACAAAGTCAAACTGGTAGGTGAAGTTGAAGACAGCCTTCAAGAAGAGGTCGCCAAGTCCTATTGCCGGGGCGTCCCCCGCCAAGAGGTAGAAGGCGTCGCAGAGCCGGGTCGTCACACCGGCTCCGCTACCACTGACGAACCGCGAAGCAGCGCAGCAAATGGCTTTCACGCGAACGAAGTGGCTCAAGGGCCCTGCGTATGCAGTAAGAAGGAAATGGCCGCGGACCGAAGCATGACCAGGGTTCAAGCAGGTGCATGTAGTTTCACATATATATATATATATATATATGACATGACCCCCAAAACACACATCAAACGGGGCAAATCTTGGGAAGTAGATACCATGTACAATACTAGACTCGGTAGAGCTATACCTGGAACACACTGGTTTGATAGCAAAATGTGTAAAATGGCATGAACATCCTCCAAAATAGAGTTTGTTGATGCTGTAGGCAGCATACATTCAATTGACACGGTTCCAAAGCTACGGATTCTCCACCACCCGCCACCCACCACACAGCAAAAACATCGTGCTTAATCAATCTTAATCAAATGCATCACCTGGTACAAGCGCAGCAGCTCATCATCATGGACGGCAAGAGCCACCTGGTGAAAGTGACGTTGACGGTGCGTTCCTTTTGAGCTCAAAGAACAGCGGCCGTGTTATTGATGTTCCTGAGACGTGCTTCTTGCGCGGATTCCCATCAAACGTGTCAATGAGTGTGTGTGTGTGCGTCCTGAAATAGCAATGGCAATACCTCCAAGAAGGAAAAAGGCAACATAGCTGTTTTAACAATGATCTTAATTAAGATGCTCTAACCCACTACTAGTCCTGACTTCTCATATTGTTCCACCCACGTGGGATCAAAGTGACCAAGCGCCACCCTGTTGGCCCGGAGCCGCAGAACCGAGCCCCGTGCGCTGCCGTCCGGGCTCCATTTGGCCGCCTTGGCAAAGTTGTTCCTGCTCGCTGGACTCCGCTGGACCGTGCTCCGGTCGAGTAGAAGACTCCAGGACTAAAGGGGTCTCCAAGTCGACTGCCCTCCTCACGGAGTGATGGATCTCCGCTTTGAAGAGAGGTACCAGGATGTGGACCAACCCAATGGGTGCCCTGGTAGGAAACCCACGCACCTAGTGGGCTGGGTCGTCCTACCCAAAACACCCAAACAGGATGTCCCTTGCCATGAATTGGTTGGCTGATCTGTGTCTGTGTTTCGAGGGAAAATTCCAAGACCTTCCCCCTGGCAGTGCCCATGCAGTGCCCATTTTCTCGCTCGCGGGCACTCGTGAGTCGATGGGTCTAATGAATGGCATGGGAAGCCTGTGGGAAATTCCGGCCGGGCACCAGTTGCTACGTCCCTCAAAAAGACTCAAAAGGAGCCAAGAATATCTGCACTAAGACTAGTGACTAGCGTTTGACATGGCATCCCAGGAGTTCTTGTTGAACCGAGAAATCCTCGGCTAGGACGACTTCAACCGGCTCAGCTCTTCAACCAACGGCGGAGCAGCGAATTTTCTGTGGGATTGGTCTCCGTGATCTTCTCGGTCTGCCGGCCTTGGCGCGTTTGCCTGAAAACGGTCATGTGGGGGTCCATGTGGAAGCAAGGCTCCTGGGTTTTGGGCTGAAGTGGTATGCAACCCTGACTTAGTATACATGTATATATATATATACATACATCTATAGTATATTAAACTCCACAAGATGAGCCAAAGGCTGGAATTAAAGGCGGGACTCATGGAAATCCCGAGAACACCCAGTGTGCCATAGCAGTAAGAAAGTGGCAAACCTCTTCCATTTGCACCATAAACATGATCATAACCATAGCATATTATAAACTCTGTTCAACAAACAAGTGACCCATGTGCAATTGGTTCTGTTGAGCATGAAGAAAGGACATTGGCCTCTTGGAAGGCTCCAAATGGTTTCTCTCCGCCGTGGCGGCAGCGTTGGGCCCAGGTGCAGTCCGGCAGCAGGTATTGCAAGAAGAGCGCCACCAAGAGCAGCAGCACCGAACTGATGGCGGCCTCAGATGTGTCAGAAGAACACCTGACCGCTTCTTGCTCCTAGTAGTAAGGCCAGGAGCTACTAGTGGCGTCCTTGCTCTTAGCAGCGATACCCTTTGCTCCCAGTAGTTTCTTCCTCCTAGAGGTCACAGAATCCCCAAGTTTTTTGGAAGGGGTTCCCAGGACGGGTGATTGGAAGGGATGCCGAGATGCCGCCGAAAATCATCCACTCACATACCCGCATCCCGAAATGAGAAGGGGAGATGAAGAAAACACCTGGCAGGAAATTGTTGGGTCAAGACGCAGTTCCAAAGAACACCTTGAACACCTTGAGCTGGGGATCTTCAACACACTCATCCCTTTTGCCACGACACCCCCAACAAAATCAGACCCCACATACCGTCTGTCCTCCCGTCTGTCCTCCCTGATCCAACGTCTCCGGGTACCGTCCAAGCCACGGCCATCCAAAGGTTCTCGAACTGCTGCGCATCGCCGGATCGCCCTCGTTCGACCGTCGGAAGGCCGTGGAGGCATGGATCACACATGGAGGAAGTGTACGGGTTCACCCTGAACATCAAGGTGTTCCCTCAGGTTGGTAAAGTGCTATGGCTATATCTTGTTGATTAATATATTGGATTACCAAACCTCCGTCAACCCTCATACTGAATAGGTTCCAACACCCAAAGCATGCTCCACTAACGGCTCGCTTCACAGCTTCACTCTACAAATCCCCCGCCTCGTGGCTTCACGTGAAGGATCTCCAGTAGCACCGCGCCGAAGTTGGAACCCAAGGTGGCACCCAGGTTGTGGCACCCCGCCAGCAGCGCCAACCTCCAGGGCCACAAATCCAAACATGAAAAACAGGTTGGCGAACAAAGGAACCTCGGAAAAGACACCTCTTGAACCGCGGCCCCAAATTGTCAAGTATTTTCGGGGCATTCAACATGGGAATGGTGGTGGATGAGAACTCTTTCTCCAAGAACACAGGGCTGATCCGCACACGCAAAGAAAGGAGTGAACACCAGCCTTAAATTGCTAGATTCAGTCAGATTATGTCAGATTCATGAGCCCTTTGGTTGACAGCGACAAAAATCTCCAAAGCAAAGCACCACAGGACAGCAGAAGCAGGACGATCTAGGACCTAGGTTTTCTGCTTTGCCTACAGTGCCATCCTGGGGTCAAACGTTAGCTATGTTAAATCAACTTATAAACTGTTGATTAATAAACATTTGGATTGCAACACCTCTTCATGATTTTGTTTTGTTGATAAACAGTCTACATTACCGTGCCAGGCATCTTTGAAGGAAAGGTCGTAACACACACACACACAATCCTCAATACATGTTTGCGAAGGAAAAACAAGTTGCCTGCACGCTTAAATTCCCACTAAACACACACACACACCGAATGAATATCAACCAACCAAAACCTTAAATGGCCGATGATGGGACCAACCAAGCCACCACCTCAAGCTGAACTCGGCAGCCTCCAGGGCTTGGTAAAAAAACAAAAAACACACACAGCCAAACTCAGCACTCGGCTGTTATATAGTTGTTAAAATGTTTTTCCAGATGGTGCATGGTGGTGGGCGAGCCACATGGACGACTCGCATAAGTCTTAAGTGTTGTCACCCGAGCCACATGGTGGCTTCCATGCCACGAGGCGCCAGCGCTGCCAAGAGGACCTGCCGCACGCGCTTTTGGAGGAAGAAGCGCCACCCAGCACCGACCGCGGAGGGTGGAAGCCTATATGGGTGGAAACCTATATATATATATACAACAACTATATCCAAGTATATATGGTACCCCCAAGAAAAGGACCACCCAAATTCATGTGTCAGGGCACCATTTGTTTAAAGTAAAACATAGAGGTTTTGTGAATATACATTGAATCCTGACAGTTTTGTACATTTTGGAAATTATGGAAATTGTTGTTTTCCAAAACTTCCAAAACCATCAGGACTATGGATACCTTCCCTGTGGTGTGCAAAGCTTTGTATTTATTAGATTTCCATTAGATTCAAGTATATTCGTTACTGTTCCACAAGCCGTTTCTCATCATAAAATTAATTTAACAAAATCAATAACGTTCTCTCCATGGTTTTGGTTTTGTTTTGGATTTGGCTCTAAGTTCGACTTACTACTGTTCCACAAGCCGTTTCAGCATAAGAAAAGATTTTGAAAATATTTGTAATATTGAATGATTTTTAAATTGAATGTTTCAAATACTGGAAAAAAATGCCGGATAAAAACATATTTTTAGTGCTTCTGTTGTATCTGCACGCAGCAATATCAATGTTTGAATGATTGCATCCAAGGCTAAGGTGGTTCTTTTTAGGCGGGGTAGCATATATATATATATTATGTGTTTTCCTTGTTCGTGCCTGGAGCCACACCCTCAGGTGTTTCTGGGTCTTTCATTTTTGGTTCACTCTTGTTCCAGTAACAATGATGCTATACCGTCCAAACTTTGAGCATGCAGTACTATGTTGGAAGGAAACAGGTCGGATTATGTCTGGACTCACAAAGCCAGGTGTTGGGGACGACTGGAATTGTCCATCGACATTCCCGGTGAGCGTCATTCGTTTGGAAGACCCACTGCTTGGATGTGCTCCACTCAAAGCAGATCTCGGAGCACGACTGCCTCCGTGTTTTGCACATGTCCATAAATATAATATACAGTATATTAAGTATTATATGTTACTGCTGTCAGGCTTTGCTCCCGAAGTGTCTCTAACCTCCGCTATACTGTATGTATGTATATATATATATGTATATTGAATAAACACTGTATATACGATTATATAACAAGAATATATTTACATATGGAATATCAACAAGTAAAAAAAATACCTGCATGCAGTCTAGGTTTCAGGCTACGCCCTCAACACATTGATAGTGAACCTATGCCAATATATGTCATTATAAAAAGAAACAAAAAACAAGAGGCATGTTTGTGCTTCGTTTCTGGGGCTTAGCTTGCTCCATTCATTCCTTGGCGGCTTTGAATGGTTTTGACCTCTCTCCAGTCTTGCACCCTCTGAGGCACCAAACCACTTGAGGCATCCACTGCCACTGCATCACGACGCCCTCGAAAATTGAGAGCCCCAGCACCATGTAGTGATCAGGGATGCCCCAGTGCACCTCAGCCAGAGTCTCTGCTGAAGTGCTGATCCAGCCACAAACTGGCTTTCGTTGGTCCACGAAACGGAACAGGGTCCCCGGCGGCTAAGTAGGCCGTTGGCCGGCTTGATTCTCATCAGAGAAGGGGGGTCTGAGCCCGGTGAGTTGCGTCCGGGAAACGCCCGAGGGTTCGACCATCGACCGATGCGGTCGCTTTTTTGGTGAAGAGAAAGTCCATCCTGACACCGTCACTGGTCACTGTGACCATCTCTTTTAGAGCTTGACGTCCGAAGATCGGAATGGGGTGGCCAAACAAAAACGATCTCAAAATCCTTCTGCTGCCCCATATCATACTCTACCGTATTCTCTACCGCTAGAAATCAACGACCGGTCCCGACTTCACCGACCGGACGCACCGCGACGCAGCGCGGCGTCCTTCGGTACCAAGTGACATTGAGTCGAGCAAACCTCGGTTTTTCCCGGTGGAAGACCCACTGAGACCTAAACCAAAACGAAGCAAACGATCATATAGCATAATCATGATTGAATATGAATTGTTTGCGATCCATTGTGGTTTAATATGATGTTAATATAGTCTCTACAATCAATGTGGATTCAAACGACGTTAATCTTCAATGTAAATGTATGTACAGTATATCATGGTAAAACTTCCATATATATATACATACATCAAATAAAGTGTCAAAAGAACTTGTCTGTTTGTTTCAAGATATATAACATTGTTGCTTTCAAAAGTTGCTTGAGTTCTGTGTGGGGTACCACACTGGCTTTTCTGAAAACGTGCAATATATATATATATATATATGAGGATACGTCTACTTGAGCGATACATGACCCACGCACGGGTTTTCAAGGATTTTGTGGACCGTTGTGTGTCAAACAATTTGACCCCAGCAAAGATATGGGTGTGTATCAAAATAGGAAGGCCTCCAAAGGCTGCCTGGAAGAAGGAAGATTGAGGGCGCAGGGCAGGCGCTGCTAGACTTGTGGTGATGAGTCATGGACCAGTGGGGTCCACGCCCACCTTGTGATTTGTCTTTACCAAAACGCTGGAACACCCTCATGCAGCATGCATGTTCTTTCCAGTCGAAGACACATCATCACGTCCAGCAAACTGCAAGCGAACATGATCAATGACGTGAATACCTGGGCAAAGGCGGAGGGCACTGCTGACTCCTTGGGCAAGGCTTTTGGGTGTTCAGGTTGAAGCAGTGCTGTAATTCCATCCCACTATCCCACTTGTTCAGGAAACAACCGCATCTGGAGAAAGGTTCCACCTCTGGTTTGCCAGCAGGAGTTTGTTGCAACCCTTTTGCTTTGAACCCTGCAGTGCAGCCACTTTGCCAAAGCCTTCAAAGGTGGAACCTTTCATCTTATCCGCCTCACAATTGGGAAAAGTAGAAAGCCAATCGGATATGAACAATTGCTGATTCAACATACATAATGTAAATCACCACCACCATGCATGCAGGAAATAAGAAGCTCACCAAACATCTGTGGATTTTACTTGTTGTCTCTTCCTAGAGTTCTCAGATAGTGATCCGGAAAGTCGAGCTGAAAGTGGGCCGTGTTTGTGTCCATCTCCCTGCTTCAGGATCTATACTACATTACCATATATACATTACCCATATTATGAATGATATTATATGTACAATGTATTATGGTGCTGGGTCGGTTGGACACCGGCAGAGCCTGCTTGACCGAAGATCCAATTACTCCAGAAGAGGGATGTCCATCTTAACCACTTTTTGACTCGCAGCCATGATATCAATTAGCGCCTGTGATATCACAAAGCGATACATCAGTGTCACATCAATCAATCAAAGCCATAAATATCAAACTTATTATCATAACTTGGCTAATAAAGCCATTATATCACCCACAAAGGGCGATTTTCGGTTGTTCTCTCGACTGTGTCCCCTGAGCTCCTCACGATGAGCTTTCGATAGCTCCTCAGGTGTGGCTTTCGGCGAACGAGGCGGAGGTGTTGGAGCCGCGAACTAAAAGCGAGAAGGAATTGACCAAAGTAAGTGAACGGTTGAACCCTGAGGCTCCAAATTGTGTTCAAAAATTGGTTGATGTGTTGATAATCGATAAATATTGATATGTCGTCTTGGTTTCGCTTTTGTTTGGGGTTCAACTGGAAAAACATATCCAACATCCAAGAAAGTTGAATGGAGATTTCCAGAGAGCCGTCAGTGTGACCTTCCAGCGATCCCAGTGGACAAAGTACCGCCAGGGCACATGCTGCTGAGGTATTGCTGGTAGAAAAGGATCCCCAAAAGCGCGAAGACGCTCCCCACCGTCCCCAAGACCTATGACATGAAGCGGATGACCGGCGACATGCGAGGAAACAAGGGCGTCCATGGAGCGAGGAAACATGCAAAGAAAGATCTTTAAAGCATGGGACACGTCCCTTTCGTGCAGTTCAGTGAAAGTGTCGTCTTTTCCCGGCATCGTTGCGGCACTTGGTGGTCCCAGAGTGTGCCATGTGGCCACGTGTCTTGTCCCAACAGTGCAATCATCTTGACCTGCTAGATCCTGCTAGTAGGCTGGCATCTCACTTCTCATGACTAAAGCCTCTGGAGAAAGAACTGGAGAAAGACTGCATGCTTTTTCTGTGGGATCAACTTGCAGCTTGGCCGATTGATTCAGAAACGCATTCAAACATACCAAAGTGAAGGACCCAGAGCAACAATTCTTTGCCCTGAAAATTCCTGAAGGCCAAGCAAGGCTTCTTTGGGGCAAATTCTTGGACAAATCCAAGCTACGGTGTTGAAGAAGAAGTCAGAGAAATGAGGTCCAGCTGGATAGATGTCCTTGGAGTCCGTATAGAAGTAGAATGTCGCCCCGCTGATGGACGCATTGAAGCCTGTATACAAAACCTGAGCTTCTCCGATCAGTCCAGTTGTCCAGTCGTTTGTTCCACGTGCTTTGATCAGGTCATGAACGGCCGAACATGGCTCTGAGGTTCATGTTCGGGGCCGCCCCCGGCCCTATACATCATGAGACCGCTCACAACGTGGGATGCGCAAAACAACGTGGATCCGGAAGCGACTCGAACCGAGATTTGGTCGGGAAAACACCAACTGCCCAAGGGCACCCTGGCATACCCTGGCACCCTGGATGGACCTGACAATACCAAACACATCATAACATAAACAAGCCGTCTGGCATAAGCCCAACAGAAGCAACAAACACACTTAGATTGTTGTTTTTGTTGGGTTGTCTTCGTTTCATGCTTCAAGTCTTCGCGTTGCTTGACGTGGGAACCTTTAGAATATTGAATGGACATACTATGACAACCATGCCAATATTTTCCATAAAGGCTTCGGATCACCCGATCATGTCCGGTCTTGTCCGCCAGGGAAAAGACCGGATCGCCCCGATCCAAAACCACGGATTGACTCCGCAAGGGTTGGACAGGACTCCAGTGCCGTGTCATCAGTGCCGTGGCTGTCTCAATCTGCATGGGAGGACACCGAGGCCAGGGAGGCCCACCGAGTTGGAGCGCCGAGCGGCGGAAAAGGCATTGGCTTTGGCCACCACAGGAGTGAGGCAAACGCAACAGGCGCCCAAAATGAACCTAAGTGGTTCTGGGTCAAGATGGGTATACCGATATACCAATGAGTTGCTAATCTATGGGGTGGAAGTTCTTGTAAGGAAACACCAGAGGTTGATGGTCGACTTACCCACCAGGTGAGCTTTGGGTGGTGCATCCCACGAGTAGTTTGCTTGTACTCATGAACGGTAGTGTTTTTGCTTGCATTTGTACTCATGAATGGTAGTGGCTTTACGGTAATTGCATGGCCCTGTTTGGTATTGACTTATCCCGAAAAAACTGTCATCACACCAATCAGGCATCCACTGATATAGTGCAGAGTCTAGTGCCAATGTTAGCTTTACATAGCTTTACACATTATCACGTTTATATTCTGAGCTGTGAATTCTATCTAGAGCACTGCACGTGTCTGGGATAATATTAATTATTTGGCACTTATGTGGAGCATGCTCATTGGAGAACTGTATTCTTCTTTGGGCTGGAGCATGAACAACAAGTTTGACAAATAGAACATAATTAAACGGTACTTGTTTTTTTAGTGCTTCTCTTGTTGGACAGCAAGAAAGCATCCTCGACCTCCACTCATTACCCACTCTGCCAGTGCACCCACCATCCCCGTGCACTTCTTTGCCAAGAAACATGGCAGTCACCAAGGCCACCGCAAAGTTGATGCCTCGGGACATGCCAGTTTGCACAGATCGGCAAACTGAGAAACACAATTGGACATATCAACATCAATCAATCATGTGTGCAGGAAGGATCATTGCCCATCTTGGCCTTTCCCATCATGCCTTCTTCCGAAGAACCATCATGCCTTCACACATCTTACTTGCTGAATGGTTGCTCCAGGCATTTCGGCCCAGTTTCTGGTCTTTTCCCGGGCCGTGAGACTGTCAAACGACGTGTCTCTGCCCCGGATTAACGCTTCATCGCAATGCTTGGACGAGTTTACGGCAAAGCACTCTGAATGGCGCTGTTCGAAGGCACTGAAATTAAGCGACATCACTCTTTACAAACCGAAGAAAACTTAGGGTTCAGGCTAGCAGGGAAGATACTGAATTAAATAAATACTATATGGATTTCAAATGATTTCAGGCTCTCTGTTGGAGCCACAACTTCATACCCCACGGCCGCCAAGCAGCACGGGTCACGCTGCAAAAAACCCACGCACATGATGACCAGGGTGCCGCAGAACATCATCTGAGCAAAGGAAGGGGACTCTGTGAATGGGCAACCGTGGTGGAGCGGTTCTTGCCGGTTAAAAGCCTCAAACAAATACAAGGCAAAAGGATACTAGTTCAAGTAGAAGAAGGATCAACATGATCAACAAAAAGACATCTGGTAGCGTTTGGTAGAAGGAAAGCAGTCTCCATAGCCTATCTGTCAGGAGCGTGACAATTGGCTTGTATCCTTGCAAAAAAGTACAAAACTGCCTGCTGCTTGAGCTCAAACAGCAGACCTTTCGCAAGAAAGCCTCCATAGCCTGGTTGACTGGATCCGTCAACTTTTAGGTCAAGGTCTGCTTGCTTTTTGAAAGGACCTTGGAACACCCCCTGCTTTGAGGGCTCAACAACCCTCCGGAGCCACGGCGCCAAGCAAAGAAAGCAGGTCTCGCGCTGCTCGAAGTAGCGGCGACGAATGCGCGTGAGATCCTCTGTCAAACACTTTGTCAAGTTGAAGAAGGCCATTTTTGGGTGGTCCCCAAATCAGAAAGACTTTTCCATGTTGAGTATCCAAAATGATTGAACCCAGAGTTCACTTTCCTATTTAGGAGCCTTATTGGGGCTCCGACCCACAGCAGCTAGGACTCTGTTCTCTTTTCCCAACCCACGAATGGATGCCACGAATACGGATGTTGGATGTGGGAGCCGAGAAAGCACACAATAGGTGATTGGAGCGGGGGGGGAGAGCAACGGATGGGGCTCTGGCTTTGGACCTAGAGTTGTTCCTCGCCTCTGCCAATTGGAGTGTCCAGGAAATCAGTGCAATGAGCGATTGGGCAGAATTGGGAGATCCGCAACGCGCACAAGAAAGGCCGGCCACGAGATCAGCCAGTGCGTCAAGTTCCACTCACGCCCAAAAAGGCCCATCATATCAAAACAGGTATCTATATCCTCCCATAACCAGTGCGGACGTCTCTTTCTTGGAGATCATGTCTTTGTGTCGTCCAAAGGACGGCTTGGCAGCCCCCCGGTGACACCGCCGGTCCTCTGAAGAGATGCGTTTCTCCTGCAAGCAGCCCATGGAGACTGGCACCAGCACCAGTGCAGCCGGCAGCGCGGCGAAAACAAAGGCGCCCTTAGCAACAAAACCAGTGTACCAAACGGGTGGATCTGACAGGTTGCCAATAGCAAGTGTCTAAAGCTCAATCTCACTGCTTATTGGTTGCAAAGGCTTCGATGTGGATTGTAGATCAAACGCTCACACCTCGCTGGTTTGCCTGTTTATATAAAATCGTCTGCTGTGCGTGCCTCTGACCTCCCCGAAGATTTGGAACAGCCCATGGCCACTTCCCTGCGAACTTGATGGGTCAAAACAGGTGACCTACCATCAAGTAGCCTCAATGACCCATAGAGAAAACAAGTTGCCGCATTCCTTCAGCTGGATTTCATATCGACATACCCTGCAAAACTATCAGCAAACAGGTGTTGGTGAAAAGAGTTCCGCCCATAATCAAGGTAGCTCGCATATCCTCCAAGCACACTCAGGCGTTCAAGTGAACAAGCAACGTGAAGTGATTGGGTTCATGATATACGACGCACGAGCAGCTGCTTAGTTTGACACAGCAAACACACACATCAAACACCATCAAACACCAATCAAAGGTTTTGGGAGTGTTTCCCTCCGCCCTTCAGTGATACTGGCCCAAACACTGGCTGGAATACAGTATATTTTGAAGGCGTTAATCATAAAATGTATGACATAGTTAACCCTATAAGGCTAATAAGTATGCCAAACAATTGAATTCCCTACAAACACCCCCCAAAAAAGAACTAATATCGAAGCCTCATGTGTTCATCGAACGCGTCTCCCGTTTTCCTGCGTTCGAGTTCGTCGCATCCGTGGACGGGCTGCGCGGTACCCATAGGCCTCGAGGATGGGACCTGGAGATGGGATGACCAGCTTGGGAGGACGACTGGCAAAATGGGCCCAGTTAGAACCGGGTGATCTCTCGTGACGGCCCAAAAATGTTTGCCAGTTTGGAGATGCAGGATGCCCACAAACGTCCACGTGCTGTCTGTTTCCTCAAGATTCCGGAGCAATGATTGCTATGCTGCTGGAGTAATCTTGAACCCCAAAAGACTCCTAGACTCCTGGGTGCACATCTGCAGACCCGACCATTTTGTGATCCAGAATAGTTCCCAACGCTTTCAGAACTCAGTGGCGCGGACGCGAATCCCAGCGAATCCAAAAAGCAAGGCATGTGAACATTGAAATAGCGTCATTGAAAAGCAAAACCGCTCGGCCGTGCTTTGTTGGTGCTGGTCAGTCAACTGCTCACTGCTAGGCTCAGGATGGCTCAGGATTCTTTTGGGGGATGTATGACTAAAATGATGGGTGGTTCCTTCTTGCTGCGCCGGGTCAAAAAAGCGGTCGATCCAAAAGAGTCCCAGGTCCAAACTCACATCTCCGATCTGTCGCACAAACATGGCACAAAACCATTCATTCAGAGACTCCTTTCTCGGTTCTTCACACAGTCTTTTGTGACTCGGTCCCAATACAAACAGTTCTTCTCGATCACTGGCAAATAGCCGTCACCGGGTGACGTTGTAACCACGTAATGACTCATCAGGCGACCCCGTCGTACTCACCGAGCTGCCAGAACAAAACATGGCCAAAAGCCCAAAGATATCGATTCCAGCCCAAACATAACCTGTGAATTGGAGCGGACAGGCCATGGCCACCAATGGACCTGTGGAGATTTCTCCACAGAAAGTCCTGGCAAACCCTAAACTAGTTGATGTGGGGATTGGATTGGGTCTACCAATACAGTTCGATTGGATTGGGGATTGGATTGGATTGAATAGCTGTGGAGGCTGTGGATTGGATTGGCGATGGATTGTGAAATGGCTGGACACCAAACTAGTGGTTCACAGCTGTTTCATCTTTACATGCCCAAAAAACTCCAGGGGCACGAGCCCATCGAATTGCACGCGGTGATTAAAACAACGTTTTTTGAGGGGAAACGAACCTTCCAACAGCCCGAAGTGTCTTTGGGGGTGGAAACTAACAGATACCAGGTGTATGTCGGTGTAGTGTATCTAGTCCCTGCAAGTCCGAAGTGCAAGTTTAACGAAGTCATCTGAGAACGATCAAGTTTTACGAGGTCATCGCGTTTGTCGGAAGAACCGCCCTTTTGTCATGACCACACTGGCGTCGCCACCAGAGCCCACATAGATCCTGCACAAATCGATGAAAAAACACTCAAAACATCTCAAAACAGTAGCCAAATTCATTAAATCACGTTACGTTACCTCCTGGTGTGATGTTGTATGTGAACCTTCACATGTTCACTGCATATTCTATAGTCCTAGCTGCGGTTCTTGGCTTAGCCGCTTGCCATCAGAAGATGCTAAAACTGCCAGTCCTTGCCATGTCATCGTCGCCACACCAGATCCATATCGATCCTGGAAAACAATTTTAGAGCAAGTCCAGTTCCATTCATGCTAGCAATGCTAGCACGGTTTTTGGCTTAGCCACTTGCCATCCAACTGCTAATTCTTGGTTCCTAGCTGCGGTTCTTGGCTTGGCCGCATGCCATCCAAATTCACAACAAGAAGATGCTGCAGAATGAGTAACCAACCTGAATGGTACTATGCAATCAGAGAGCCAAACTGTCCTGCGCATGCGTGCCTTTGCACACTTCAAGCGGAGCCTCGCAATCTTGGCCAGGAACTTTTCCATGTGTCTGCCAGAGATTGCACATGACAGCTTCTTGATCATCCCGATGGTGTCTTCTTCTGAGAAGCAATGCGAGAACCTCGAGTTCAGTCCTGAGATGCTCAAGTCCAGGGATAGAAGAACAGGTTAATTGACCCAAAAGACCACAGAAACCTCTTCCCAAAAGACCAGTGAAGCCTCTTTGAACCTGGAATTACCAGCTCAAACCTGCAAATCAAGTTCTCCTCTAGAGGAAAGACCAGTCAATGTCATCCAAAGACACACTCAGCCAAGAATCGCTCTCTCTTGGTGCGAGCCAAAACGTGGCAGAACATGTGCGCCTTTGGCTTCAAGAACCAGCACTGCAGCCCCATCCTCACAACTGACTCAACAATGGCGAAGGGACCTTGAGGTCTCAAATGTCCCTTCAGGTCTCAAGGGGCCGTTGAAGTCTTTAAGATAAAGGAAAATTCGACGCCCCCCCTCAACGGAAGTCCTGCTGGCTATTTTGAGGCAGCTGATGTGGTGGTGCAGAAAGCGCTTCCCAGCACTGTGGATGGCATCAGCCTGATCCTGCGTCCTGAGCAATCAAAGTGATCTCTGATAAGTTCTGGCATCATTGATGCCTACATGTGTGCTCTTGAATCTTTGAAGACAATGCCTACCACATCCTACCACAGTTCTTGGCTTAGCCACCTGCTATTTGGTGTGCTTGAATGGAAGTTTTTAACATCACCCAAAAAGGCCACCCAATCAGTGAAAGAACATTGGAACTGAACATGTCCTGCCACCCCCCCATCACTTCAGGCTATGGTGCAAGAACCGTCCAGATCTCTCACAAAGGCCAAACCACTCACAAAGAGCTTGCCTTGGGCAAGGAGAGAATGAGGTTGGCAACATCATCTCAGGAACAGACCGGATGGTCGAAACCCAAAGCAGGGTCTCGTGGTGCCATATGATCAACCAGCTAATTGGAACAGTCACTGGAACTTTCTCTGGCTCCATCCAAAGGTCTGTGGACCATCCCCTAGGGCTCCTGGCCCACCTCCTGAGAAGGTGGTTGGGATGGGTTTTGGGGGTCTAACCAGCCCCAGCTGGCAAATTCATTTTGAAGACTAAGTGACGAAGCCAGTGGATTCACCACCAGCAAGGGGTCATCTGGCCACATGCGGTTGCCAGCCTGGATCTCCGCCTGAAGCCACTTGCCCAGTGTTCGGTCCTGAAGCAGGTGAGTCCAATATGGACCTGTCTAGGTGGAGGTGGTCTACCCTGACCCTGATCCAGCTGTTCATGTCCAGTGGAAATTAGCAGGGAGATCTGCATCCCTCCAGTTTTACCAAGTATCATCACCTGGACCTGGCAGGTCCCTCATGGCTGCCTTTAGGGCAGAATCGTGCAGCCACTCCAACACCACCCTGCTGTTCCAGGCTTTCGCCACAAAGTAGGAGCCGTGACAAAGCTTGTCAACCTGGGTTTGATGCTCTGCCGTTGTCTGATGGACTCAAGTTTCCTCATAAAGACATAGGGTGACCTGTCCCATGCAGCAGAAAAATCTGTCCCTACAGGTCTAAGACCTTAAGCTTACTGTATGTTGGTCTTGCCAAAACACTATTCAATGAGGGGTCAGGTTGCCAACTTTGTCTTTCGACCTGTAGGGGTGCAAATGCAAAACAGGAACCTGCCCTGCCCTGAAGCGGCGCTGGGAGGTTCTCACCTGCAAGGCCCTCCTCCATGCAGTGAAGTCACTGAAGGCACTGAGGAGGCATTGTTCCAGTGCAGCTGGCTCACCGAAGAAGCCTCCTCGCACCAGTGTCATGAGCAGTGCCCCGTTGACCGTGAAGCAAAGCCCAAGGTTCACGCAGTGCATGGTGCATATCTGCACCATCCTGCAAGAGAACCCCTTCACCAAGACCAACGGCGAAGGGGAGCAACTCTCATCCAGCATTGTCGCCAGGAAATCCAGAGTTGTGACCTCCGCCCCAGTCGAGTCGAAGTCCCAAAAGGGATGATCGTGCTGAAACACTGTTGCCTTGCAATGGTGGCACACGCGATTCCCAGTGAAGCTTGGCTCAAACCTCAGGATCTTGCGCAGAAAGGGCCAGCCCCCCTTGATCTCAGCCAGAGCGAACATAGTCCGAGACACTCCAACACCATGCCATGCTGCATTGAGTCGTCCAACGACATAGGCCAGCAGTGGCCAGAGCGTGAAGCATCCAGCAATGAGGTGCGTCCTGAGGCTGAATATCATGTAGTGACACACACGCACTTTCTTCGGCTTGAAGAGTGTGAGGGACAAGTACACGGCAGTGATGCTATCACCTTGTCTGTTCACTTGCACGTCGTCACCATAGAGAGAAACTGGGACATGTGCATCTGTTGCTGGATGCTGCTCATAGTGTTGCCTTTGCCTGCTCCAGTACTCTGCAGTCACATCACGTGGGCAGGTCAAGCCCACATCATCAACCAAGTATGCCAGGACCTCGCAGGGATCCAGAATTGGCACTGCAACATCTTCCAATGCACCAGACATAGCAAACTGTTGTGTCTGCACATAGTGTGTTTCCTGAGCTGCTGCTCCACTATGCATGGAAGCTGATACAATCTGTGGACATGTCACATTCCTTTAAGCATTTCCGTCAGGAAATCCTGAAGGCTTGTGACTGTACATTAATATATATTCATCACACCAGGAGGTAACGTCACGTGACTTTAGGACCAGGTAAAGCCCCCACTCAACTCGATAAAGACCTCAATTAAAGTCAGACCTAAAACTGACATGAGTCGATCCATCGCATCGATCGTTGGTTGGTTGGAAGGGTGGGGCAGGGAGTCACGGATGTCACAAAAACTTCAGGGAACCATATCAGAAGCCCTCCACAGAACTTCTATTCCAGAAGAATTGTCCAAATAATAATTTTAGCGCTAGCTACTATACCGCAACACCTTGAAGATCCCCTCTCCTCTCCATCGATCGAATGGGATGGGTGGCTGGAGGATCGGAGGAGGGGTGGTCTCGCTGGTTGGGGGTCAATCACACCAACAAAATGGGATCAGGGTTGGGGTTTCCCAGAAAAATTAGGCTTTAAATAGACCATGCAGTCTGTCTAAATTAAAACATGATCGTTATCAGATGACCTCGTTAAACCTGCACTTCAGACTTGCAGGGAATGGGATCACAGCTACCTGTCCAACATGGGACTAGAATCTCCTGAACCCATATACCCCTTGGTTCGGACATCGACGACCAACGATCGACTGGGATGGGTGGAGGCGGAGGGTCATGATAGTGGTCATGATAGACCATGATTAAATGTCCAAAGACCCAGAAAAATTAAAGCTCATAATAGTGACCAGATTGACCAAGCACCCTGGCCATATACAGAGGCAACTCTCCCCTACAGGTCTAGGGACTAGAATCTCCCTGAACCCATATACCCCTCGGTCCGGACATCGACGATCGACTGGGATGGGTGGAGGGCAATGATAGTGGTCATTATGGACCCTGACCCATTCGAATTCTATTTTATTTTACGCATATCCAGTAAGGCGAGGTCATTGACCTTCAGCACAGGCCTAAAAATTACAGTATATTAGACCTGAATCCATATCCCTGGGCACTGACATCGAGGACAGATGGGTGGAGGGTCTTTAGAATGGGACCTCTTATCACTCTGTTACTATTTGACCCAGTGAAAGGTCTTCCCATACCCCTTCGTGCGGACATCGACGATCGATTGGGATGGGTGGAGGGTCATGAGAAAAATCTATTGGCCACCCTAGGCCCTAGGCCTATAGGGGCAAACCTGCCCTAAATCGATAATTGGCTTTTAGCCATTGCACTGGAGATAAACTCAAAGGCAAACGGAAGGGTAGTGCACAGAAAGGGTTTTGGAAAAACCTATTCTACTAACGTCATGGAAGGCGTGTGACCTTCGTAGAACCCAAGGCTGTTCGTGGACAGTTCATGGAATGGTGGGCCAGTAGGAGAACTGACTGTAACGAAATCCCAGAAACCTTCGAGGAACTTCGTGGATCTTCGTGGAAGGTATTTTTGATGCACTAACTTCATGTATCGATTTTTGCTGACCCCCTTTCTCCACAGGGACCAACTTTCAGTGAGCCCAGGCCCCAAAAAAGGGAACAGAGGGGCAAACCTGCCCTACATAAATGCATATTACACCATGGTATCGATCGGGACTCGGTCGGATTGGGTTCGAGTCGATCGGAAGAGTCGATCCGGGGTCGGGGGGTCTGTCGGGAGTCGGTCGGTGGTTTCGGACTACTCCCAGGCAGGGCTGGGCTTGGTGGTGGGGTGGAGTGGGCTGGAGAGGGCACCCAGAACTCCTTAGAGGATAAATGATCCACCCTACGTATCCGCACCCTCAAAAAACAAGGGTTTTGAGGTCACAAACCCTTGTCACAGAGGGCTCAACCCCTTCTAAGGAGATATCAACATAAATTTAAACCTTAAACCCTCAGATCCCTGCTTCAAATTGAAAACCTGGACCACTTGTCTAAACTTGGAGTTTGAAGGCTCATGCCTCAAAAACATCCATGTTGGGGCATGTGGAATTTTCTTGAAGGATCATGCCTCGAAAACATCTGGGCATGATCCTAGAAACCTAAATCCCTCCACTCACAGCCGACTTCGAACCGACGTCAGGGAACGAATTCGAGCCAACGTCAAGGGTCATGAGCTCTGAGCACAATTAGCTTTTTTGGGAATGTTTTAAGGCGTCTCATGGACACTGATCCTTTTTCCATGACCCTTGAAACCAGTCGTGAAACCATCGGAGTCGACATCGATGGGTCGAGCTGAGGGTCATCACATGTTTATGCTTGATGGAGGGTTAACAGACCCTAGAAAACTTTGGGGATCACACTTCCAAGTGGACCAGAACAGGTTCTAGATCTAGATCTTGTTAAATAGTGAACCCTGATCCATTTGGTTCGAATCGAACCGATGTCACGTACCGAAGTCAAGCCGACATCAAGGGTCATGAGCTCTGAGCACAATTAAGCCATGAAACATTTTTAAGGCTTCTCATGGACACTGATCCTTTTTCCATGACCCTTGAAACCAGTCATCAAACCATCGGAGTCGAGATCGATGGGTTGAGCTGAGGGTTAGGTTCATGAAAATGTTCAAGTCCATGAGCTATACAGCTCAGATCACATGTGCATGGTTGATGGAGGGTTGACGGACCCGAGAATTTGGGTGTCACACTTCCAAGTGGACGTACTAGGTTCTAGATTATGAACCCTGATCCATTCGGGTCGAATCGAACCGATGTCGCACAACGAAGTCGAGCCGACGTCAAGGGTCATGAGCTCTGAGCAGTTTTTTTTCCTGGGAATAGATATGAAAAGGCTTCTCATGGACCCTGATCCTCTTTCCATGACCCTTGAAACCAGGCCTGAAACCATCGGAGTCAGGTTCATGAAAATGTTCAAGATATTTTGAGCTATATTAGAGCTCCATGTGCATGCTTGATGGAGGAGGTTCACAGACCCAAAGAAAATTTGCTTCTTTGTGGGGGTCATACTTCCAAGTGAACCAAAATCAGGTTCTAGACCCAAATGTGAACCCCTGGTCCGTTCGATTCGATCGACGTGGGTGGAGGTGGGTCCGGGGAAGGTTCATATTTTGATCCCCTGTGAATGCACATGGCAATGCTACACCAAAGATGGATGTTTGGATTCCAGTACCGATTGATCAATCGGATCAAGTGAGATCCTAGACCTGCCACTTCCAGCTAAGCAGCACATGGAAGTTGTGCCCACTTCCAGAAGTCCCGTGAGCGATTCCAAGAGCTATAGGATCCAAGCTCGGAAGTCGATCTCGAGGATCGGCCATGTGAATCCTCATCGAAGCAGCTGGCCATGGATCTCACTATCCACCCTTGAACTGATCCATCCATACCAGGTGGTTTCAAAAACAGTTCCAGGTGAGCAGCCTGGTAGGCTGACAGCTGACATGGTGGGTTCACGTTACCACATGTCACAGGGATATCCAAACCAAGGGCCGAGAACCACTGTGGGTGGTTGGACGGTGGGGGAATGGATGGGATGGGAGTACAGTGGCCCGTCCACCCCTAATTCGACCGCTTGCTGTTTTAGCCGGTCAAGCCGGTATGTTTCACCAAGCCGGATCTGGTGGATCCGTACCTACCTCATAGCAGGGTGCTACACCCTCAGGGTTGGATGGAGTGGGTGGCACAATCCCCTGAACTATGCATAAATGGCCCCTTCTTAGGACATAGGGGATTGTGCTATCTACTCTGAACCCTGTCCAAAGCTTGAGAAAAACCACTAACACACCCAACCCAGAAGTCCTGCGAAGCCAGATTGAGGGACTCCATTGCATTCTCGATCGATGACTCCTGAGCATTCATGAAAATCACCAACACATGTGGGATATTTTTTGAGAAAATGTGCACATGTACCAGCTAATGGCCCTGAACGAAGTCAAGCCAATGTCAACGGTCACCTGAACAGATTCTCATATTTAGTGGTGGTCGGAGGTCCATGACTTTAACCACTCTGGCAAGGTTCTCCATCACAAATCTTCTCCAAATAGCGCTCCACGAGGTTGGACTTCTGGGCACCTGGCACAGAAGCCAGTGAGACACACATTCCATATTGATCATCTTGGTCAGATGATCAAGGTCAGGTCAGGGGGAAGGGATACAGCTCAAGGACCTCATTAATGGACTGGGTCATCCAGTGATGTAATGATCAAAAATGATGTGAAAGGGAGACCCCCTGATTGAACAGTTCACCAAACAGATGCACCTGGTTTTATCCACTTTCCTCCCAACTGCACCCGCCGACTTGATTCCCGCATGGCGATCCTGGAGTCCTCTTGCTCCACACACGTGGCCCTGCAGCATTCAGCTCGCATTTGAGTCAGCCCTCCTGCCACCTGGTAACATTGGTGTATTCTAAACAGGTTTGGGTGGCCCCATGTGACTCATGCACATTGGCTGCAAGGATATCTATCTATGGTGATGTGATCACCGTACTCTATCTATCTATGGTGATGTGATCACCGTACTCTGCGATGGTCCACTGTGACCCAACTTTTGAAATAACTAGAACATGAACAAGGTGCCTCAGGTGTACTCCTCAAAATTGGTACCATCCAGAGGTAATTGGAAATGGTTTCGGAACATGTTTTACTGGAAGGAACACAGCCATGGCCCAGTGGATCTTTTGAGACGTGGTAATTTGAACCCACCACGTCAGCTGTCAGTCAAACAAGCTGCCCACCACCTGTACCTTGAAATGTGTTGAATACATAACCATCGATATCCATATCACCAGCAACTGTGGGTGGGCAGCATGGATCAGATGCGCTACCTACCTACTTCATTCGGTTGACCTTCTTCTTGAGGTCATCATAGGATGTGCAAGCAGTCGACAGCTCCTTCTCCAAGTCATCAATCTTGCTGTCATCCTGGGGAGATAGGTGACACACATGCAACTTACCCCCAGACACATACAGGCCGCAGGCCCTACAAGTCTAAGGACCCTGAAAACTCCAAAGAACCAGGACCAAGTACGACCACATTAATGCTTAATGAGGTGGACGGAAGGGGGAACAGATACTTTTTTATGAACACCACTCCTGGTTCTCATCCAAAGCAGCTTGCAGTGCTGTGCGCTTCGAGGCGATGTCAGCTGCAATCAGCTTCGTGTCCTTGATGAACGCATCTCGGACATTGGATGGCCTTGGAGCCAAGGATTGGGATTGGGATCAGGGCCCTGAGCAGGAATATGCAGCAAATCCCCCTTCATGCGCATGAGATTCACAAGTTCAAAAGGACATCAACAAATCCAAGCAAATGTCCAAGTATTTTTAAGTAGAAGGGATATTGATGCTTTGTTGTTCAGTCTTGGACCCTCTAGACACTGCAAACAATCAAGCTCCGTTCTGAACATGCCGAGAACCATCAAAAAAACGGACACACTTATCGCCGATGAAGCGACAAAATCCACCCAGAAGATGACCCATGTCCATTAATCATGTGGGAGTTCATGTGGGCCAGTGGGTTGAACAGCCAAGATACACACCCTGCCACTGCGATTCCAGGCTGTTGGAATCCTTGCACTTGTTTGACGCTTTGTCGATGGCCTCCAAAGAAAGGTAGAGGGTAGATCAGATGGAAGGGTTAGTCCACCATTCTGACATCATGAACATGCCCTGAAATAAGCAACACAACATTTGAGGCCTTCTTTGCTTTTGCCAACTTTTGTTTTTTGGCTTTCTCATCGGTTTCCTTTCTCTCACGTGCAGCCTTTTCTTCAGCAGTTTCTTCCCTCTTGCGCTTTGGATCCTCTGGGCCCTGGCCACTGTTTCAAGTCTAGTTGCCCAGGAAAACTTAATCCAGAAAAGAAATATAGAACAGTGGGATTACAACCTCACTAGCAGAGGACACACCCTGCAAGTCCGAAGTGCAGGTTTAACAAGGTCATCTGAGAACGATCAAGTTTTACAAAAAGGGTCTGTCCTTCGTCTTTTCCTTCTTTCCCTTACCTGGCTTCTCTTCCTTGTTCTTGGCATCTTTCTCTTTCTTCTTTGGTGCAGTTTCTTTTCCTTTCTTCTCTTTCTTCGATGCCTTTGCCTTTTTGCCTTTCTTGCCTGAGGTGAACAAAAGACAAAGGAAACATGACCTTCGCACCTTGGACGATGGGCACTGGTGGATGCAGGATCTGGGATGGAAAAATAACGGGTGTTCCATAGCATGTTAAACCCACACAACCCACAGTACTGCCATGTGGGACCAGGTGACCCTCAACATCCCATCCATTCTACGAAAAGCCCAGATGCGCTTGCCATCATCACTAGACCCCGATGAACTTGATGAAGATGAGGATTCACATGTGCTCAGCAAATTGCACATCTCCACAGAAGTGCCATCCTCCACTGATGAATCGTCCAACACCAAGAATTGGAGGACTTCCTGCGATGAAACAGGCAGTCATGAATATTCAAACCCTGCAAGCCTGATCTCTGAGTAGTGCTTTTGTATGACCAACTGCAGGTCATTGACCTATATATAACCAAAAATATTATGCAACTGCAGTCTCCCCAGTATGGTGCCCATGACTGCTGCGGTCCTTCACCGCTGGATCCACATCCGGGTGTTGCCGCACTTCGGTCTCTCCTTCGTGTTGGGGGTGCACAGACATGCAATAATATATATTCGATCATGTGGTTGGATGAACCGCTAGGGCTTATATATGCACAGTACTAATTAGCACTGGCCCATCATTTGTGTTTTACATGTATTTGATTTTATACATGCAGACTAGTCTCGGAGAGTGGGATCTGCCAACTTTCGGTCACAGATGGAATCAGCCAACTCTTTGCCCCACCTCAGGTTGAACGGTATCCCAGTCATAGCCAAAAAACAGCAAACAGGGTGGATATAGCATGATCCCACAAATTGGGACCAAGTACTGGCCTATAATATTTGAGGAAGCATTAGTTAACGTTGTTTGCTGGGTGGTTCTGGCACCACATGTACTACAGACAAGGAACCTGGCTTCCACTTCTGATCTCAGCATCCATCTCCTTTTGCCGGTGTAAGCCTCATACTGCTTCTGGGACAAGGAGGTCACCATTTTGGAGTTCTTCCAATTCTGCCCTGACATGAGCCACTCCTCGAACAAAGGGCTCAGGCATCCATTCGCTGAACACCTCTTCCCCAGTTTTTTCACCAATGGTGGTGCTGTCTTGCCTCGGCCGGGAGAGTCCGTGCCCAGGATCAGATGGTGGCAAGAAAGGGCCCCCCTACCAGCAGAATACAAACGCTGGTAGGGGGGCCCTTAAAGCAAAAAATCAAACAGTTGATCCTCGGCTTAACCGGAGGGCCATCCGGAGGGACATGGAGGATGGCTCTTGGAATTCTAGTTCCACCCAGGTCGGGGCTTTAGCTCCTGTTCAAACAAGAGATTAACTAACACAGGGCTATATGTCCAATCTTGACCAGGGGAGCTTTAATATCAAGAATCCCAAGCAACATGACAGAACCTGCAAGTTTGAAGATCCTGCAAGTCCAAAGTCCTGGTTTAACGAGGTCAAGCTACATTCAAAGACAGAGCGCCAAAATCGCATGTACTCAGCCCGTTTGGCTTTACGCTTTCTCTCCTTCTCAGAGAGCCTCTCCTCTTCTGTTTGGTCGCCTGCCTGGCCATTCTCACCATCCTTGGCAACCTGCTCCTTTGCTTCTCGCAAAGGCTGGGAAGGTGGTGGCATTGTGGATGCACCTGTCTTCTGGTATGGAGGCTCTGCCGGTTTTGCCGGTTTGAGAGCTTGAGGGACACCTGCTGGTGCCGGTGCCGGCTCCGGCACTGCTGTGGCCTGTGGCTCTGGGATCTTGCGGTTTGCACCTCTGCTGGTGCTGGTGCCACCTGTGGCTCTGGTGCCTTGGCTGTTGGCACCTCTGCTGGCGCTGGTGCCACCTGTGGCTCTGGTGCCTTGGCTGTTGGCACCTCTGCTGGTGCTGGTGCCGCCTGTGGCTCTGGGGCCTTGGCTGTGTCCACCTCTGCTGGTGCTGGTGCCACCTGTGGCTCTGGTGCCTTGGCTGTTGGCACCTCTGCTGGTGCTGGTGCCGCCTGTGGCTCTGGGGCCTTGGCCATTTGCACCTTTGCTGGTGCTGCTGGTGCCGGCTGGGAGGCACCAGGGAGGCAGGATATGACTAATTGGACAGCCTGCGAGGCACCAGGGAGGCACCAGGGAGGCAGGAAAGGACCTATTGGAC